AAAAAAAACAGAGTAACAAGAAATCCTATAATATCTTCATTTCCCCATAATAATAATAACCCTAAAAGAACTCAAAATCCAGAAACTTAGCCCCAGACCCTCCACCACCCTTCACATCTGCTCCAACCACCCTTTTGCTCACACCACCACCCAACTCCACCTTCCCCAACTTCCCCGAAAACTCCGCCTCGACCGGCGGCCTCGGCACCTCGGGCGGCGTGCTGCACCTGATCAGAGCCCAATTCACTCCCTCGAAAAACGCGTGCTGTTTTATCTCGGTCGCTCCCCTTCTCATCCCGAGCCTGTTCTGTGGCTCTTTCACGAGCAGCCCGCGGATGAGATCCCTGCTCGCGTAGCTCGTCGAGGGCGAATCGGGAAACTTGAGCTGCTCCCCGATCACGTTGAAAAGCGTTTTCCGGTTTTCCGAGCCCTTAAACGGGGTTTTCCCGTACAACAGTTCGTAGAGGAAGATCCCAAACGTCCACCAGTCGACCGCGCTGCCGTGGCCTTCACCCTTGATGATCTCCGGAGCCAAGTACTCGTGGGTCCCGACAAACGACATGGACCTGGCGTTTGGCTCGGCCACGAGCTCCGGGAGGCTTCCCGGTCGGGGCCCCTGGCTGTCATGCCTCGACTTTCCGGGCTTCTTCTTTCCTTTCGAGGGGAAGATTCGAGGCAGGAAGCACGAGGGTTGAATGATGCAGGAGGATGTGGGCTCGATGCAAGCGGGCTGCACGCAGAAGGCGGGCCCACGCTCTGGATTGAAGACGGAGTTTCGGAGGAGGGTGGGTGAGACGGTGCACCTGAGGGAGAGGTCGAAATCCGAGAGCATTATGTGGCCATCGTCTCGAACAAGTACGTTTTCAGGTTTCAGGTCACGGTACACGACTCCCAGCATGTGGAGATATTCCAATGCCAGCAGGACTTCGGCCGCGTAAAACCTGGTTAAAAGTTTCCAAGTTAGGAACAGAAAATCGTCAGGGCCACGAGATAAAAAAAAAAAAATATTCGGAATTACGGTTTCATTTGCTATAATATTGTGCCGTTTAGTGAAATTAAATTTATGAACAGCCATTTCATGCTAAAATGGAAAAAAACCAGTTCGATCATTCATCGCACCAACTTATAGAAATACTCAATGCAGAGGCCCCAACTCAAACTAAAAGACCCTTTAAAAAACAGAACCAAGTACTGAAAATTAAAATATATATGCATACCGTGTGGCATATTCTGAAAAATGCTTCCCGGGCTGCCTCTGCCTCAGCGTATGTAGGTCCCCACCAGGACAGTATTCCATGACTAGGCACGTGAACCTGTCTGTCTCGAAGTGCGTGTACAGAGTCGGCAAGAATGGGTGATCCAGCAGCTGTAGGATCTCCCTCTCCGTCTGGGCCCGATTCAGCTTGTTTCTGCTAGCAAGCGAAGCCTTATCCATCACCTTCATAGCAAAAAAGCACCGGGTCGCGCTCAGCTCGGACAAGTAAACGCTCCCAATGTCCCCACACCCGAGCCTCCTCAGCAGCTTGAAATGGCTCATGCCTAGAATCCCATCCCTGACCCGCACAGCGAGTATTGCATTCCACCTAGGATCATTTCCTTTATGAGGCTTGTTCGCGCTCCCCGTCATTTTACTCCAGTTGCTTTCGTCACTAATCCCGCTGCTGTCACTCGCCCGGCTCAGGCTCGTTTTTGTGCTGCTCTCGAGATAGTCGCCGCCAGGGAAACTACTCCCTTTCGTGCTCTCCGAGTTTTTGTCGACACTAAGCATGCCTTCACTCATTATCCCGTCACTTTTGTACGTGCTGGCACAGCTATTGACAATGCTCATGGTCCGGGCCATGCCGACACTGTCGATGCTGCTGAGCGGACTCACATTGCCGCTCGGGGGTAGAGACGAATCCCATACACACTCCTTTTCCTCGGCGAATGGGGACGAGACAGCTGTCGAGCCCTTGGGATCGTCGGGTGGGCACGCAGAAGGCAAAAGTGTTAGCATGCTTTGATTTTTACTCGGGACCGAGAAAGATGAGTCCCTTTTGGGAATGGCTTTGATCGAGCAATTGGGGTCCCCGTTTTTGTGCCCGATTGGGACACAGACCGGATTTAGAAAGGCGGTGTCTGTGGGTTCGGGTGGGTGACTCACGCCATGGAACGAGGTCGAGCCGATTTCCTCGAACGAATCTTGGCTTATTTTGAAGGAAAGGATGCCGGGCATAAGCTCTTCCTCTTTGTCTTCTTCCTGTAGGCATTTCTTGCCTTTCCATGCTTGACGAGGCACGAGCAGATTCAACTCGTGGGGCTCGTTCGGTTTGGAGGGTTTGTGGTTATCTTCTTCGAACAAAACGGGATGAGATTGCCTCACCTTGGGCACAAAGGGAAACTGCCTCGATCGGGAATGTGATTCGAGGACATCCATATTCTCCATTGCCGATCACAACCGTTTATCATCAACAAATCAATCTCTGTCTTATGAGATTAATCTGCCAAGAAGAAAGCAAGAAAATGTGGCTACATCAAACAACTGTTGGTAAAAAATTAGCCGATAAACCGAAGAAACACAAACGTTATAACTTAACAGAACATTGAATCCTAAAAAAACAAAGGGCATCCCATCAAGAAGACAACTGTTCTCTAACTCTAAATCAAACAAACAAACAGGAAGTGCATTTAAATGCAGCTAAGAGAGAAAAAACAATGTAATCTTATGACAGATAACTTAAAGAGTGCATAAAGGCAGATCTTGTGCTTTACCAAAACAGACTCGTGATTAACTTGTAAAATAGAGTGAGAATCTAAACACCCCACCTTAAAATTAACGAAAAAAATTAATGTAGTTGTCTTCACAATATCATATTCCCAATGTTGTGGAAGCCAAAATACAGCCAACAATTACAGACCAAAAAACACTACACTCGAGCAAAAGCAAAAACCCAGAAAAGACCCAAAATCAATACCTCTGTGTAAGAGCAAAAAGCATGAATCTTTGTGTTCCTTCATGAATCAGAAACATGTGACGAGGGGTTCTTGTTCCTTGTTACAAAGATAACAACAGCAGCGGGCGAGTGAAAAATAATAAAAAATAAAATAAATGAAAATGAGGAGGTTCTTGATTATGTTTGTCAGCTTTGCTTTCCTTTTTTTTTTTTTAACTGTAAATATTGGAAATTTGTTGAGAGAGGAAGATAGATTAGATTGCCTTTTCTTCTTTCTCTGAGGAATTGAGTGTATTTTGTGTTGTTTTGGGGCTATGGGCGCTTTTGTCATGTGTTCACTTTCACTGTGATAATAATAATAATTATTAATAAGTGTTGAAAAAAGATGAGTTTGTGGGGGGGGTGGGTGGGTAGGGGTGGGGGGGGCCAGGGTTTAGCTGGATGTAGGTTTGTATACGAAGCGAAATTTTTTCGATTCGATTCGATATTTGAATTTGATATTTTTTTTTTTCATTTGAATACAAATAATATATTATATTCTAGAATTAAACGAATCTGAATTTGAATTTGTAGATGTTTGATTTGAAACTATCAAATATTCGATTCGTTTAACGATAGTTATATAAATTTTATAAATTGTATGTAGTATAAAGTTTGTTTATAATATATGTGTATATATATTGTTATACTCCTATTATTTTTGTTGACATAAAAAGAAAAAAAAATCGCAAATTAACAATTTACCCTAATAACATCTCAAATTGGATAGGAAAAACATAAACAATATTTTTGTAATTATAATCATTTTTTAATTATCATATTTTTCTGAAAACGAATGTCGAATTGAATTGAATATATTCGAATATTCTAACCGAATTGAATACGAATCATAAAATGAGCTTGTTTACAAATCGAATACGAATTCAAATCCTGAAATATTTTAACGAATTCGAATTGAATATCTTAGTATTCGCTTTGATTCAATTCGTTTACGACACTAGTTGAATGGTATATAGTGGGAAAACGAAAATACCTTCATTTAATTTTAGTAGTGTTTGGAACTTGGTAAACCAGATAAATGCATACTTTGTAGTATAATTTTGTGTGGTTGTCAATATAACTGGTGCATAATGCAATTATATAAATTGAATGTTATTAGACTATAAATGAATTATCATACACAAAGAAGTTGTTAGATTATAAATGTTCGACATGAAAATTGACTTCACCCTAATTAAAGATCTCGTCGAACGTAAAAATGTCTACAACCCGAATCAAACTAATAACTCCACCATTGTATAACATAAACTGTAAAAAAATATATAATTGTTGAAAGAATATATCCATTATGTATCAATGGTGAAAGAAATTAATGAAAGTTATACCTCGACATTGTGAAATACTTTTTCCAACATGTTTTAGTATGATGTCTTGAATGTTCCTTAACACAAATCTATTTACAACATGTTTTTGTAGGATGACTCAAATATTTTTCTTTGAAACATTCGTGACCGGGCTCGTCATTGGTCTTTTGGACCTTGTAACATGTTTTGTTAGACCCATGTTCGATCCATAATGCAATGCAAACTTTGTGTTATGCAATTAAAAATGTACACTGTTGTTTTGATCGTTGATTATGAAAACATGAAATTAAGCTCGAGCTCGACTCGTTAAGGCCTATGGACACATATGATTCGTGTTATCTTCGAACTAAAAATGTACACTGTTGCAATCATAGATTTGTGTTATCTTCGAACTCAAAATTTAAATTGCCGATATGTAGCTATGGACACATATGATCCCTAAAATGAAGGATGTTATTCATTAGAAAACACAATGTATGGACTTAAGATGTAGATTTATCATGTACGTGTGATAATACAATTTTACATGCTATGAAAATCATATTATTTACCCGTGCATCGCATGGGATACGCACTAGTTTAAGAACCAAATAAAAATATCAAATTAGATCGACTAAAATTAATTTATTGAATGATATTAAAATTTGGGACTATTAATGTTATTATTTTTATTATATTTATGTGTTATTAGATTACACTACTCCCACATATTGGGGACTTGGGAGGTCAATTTAGTACATATAATTAAAATGAATATATTATTAGCGTCTAAACCAATAAAAAGGCGGTGTGGCAATACCACGTTTTTTTTTTTGGCCAAGGCGGGACCCACAACTACCCCTCGTTTGGTCGACACGTCTTTTCGGAGCATGCCACGTCGACACTCCCATGGCCCACTATTTTGCCGCTTCCCTATATTTGTTTATTTAATTATTAATTAGGCTTCAAATCTAATCAGATTTTATATCTTTGATAAATCCAAGTAAATTTGGAATTATAGGCCTTGTGTATAATACTTTAAAAATTATAAAGCATTATTTTCAATATAAGTTATATATATTTTAAAATTTAATATTTTTTTATTATTTATCGGTTGTACTTATATAATATACGTCAAATTAATTTTTTTAACATTTTTATATATCAAATTTTCATACATAATTAAAATTTTCATATATCATACGACAAGTCAACTTTTTAAGTCAAATTCGGACTATTACTTTTGAAAATGATTTGAACTCTTAAAATAGCATAATTGCTTGAGAAAAAAAAATAATAATAAAAATGGTTAAAGTTCTATAACATTTTAGACCATAGGCTCTTATATATGGAATATCTTGACCTACATATACAATGATATTTTCTCCCTTGAGGCCTTGGTTTTTATGCCTTTTTTTATTTTTGTTGGGGTCCACTTATTTATCAATTTGTAAAATGTAAAAATTGTTGTTAGTCAAAATTAGAGATGTTAAACGGGTTAGTTCTAGCGGTTTCGGACTAGTCCTAGTGGGTTTCGGATTAAACGGTCTGGGCCAAAAAAAATCTAAATTTAAACGGACTACCAAAAAAGGGACATAACCCTAACCCTAGCGGGTTTCGGGCTGAACAGGCTATGCGCGCTATAATATTAATAATAATAATAACACTAATAAAAATATATAAAAAAAAATCAAAAATAAAAAGAGTAAAAAATTTATTAAAAAAATAACAACGTTGTTAAAAATTATTTTTAACGGCTGTTTAGTATTTACCGTCTATCACTATGTTTCATGTGTTTTCTATTAGTCGTTCCTATTGACTTAAATATTTTGGTATGAAGTACAATAACAATATTATTAATAATTATCTTTCAAAATCATAATAATTCATTACAACTCATACTTACATGTGAAGTGGAATACCAAAATAGTAATATACAAATAATTTAAGAGCTTATTACTTACTTAATGCAAACATTTACACCGTCCAACCCTAGTTAAACGGGTCAGCCCTGGCAGGTTTCGGGCTATCCCTAGCGGGCTTCGAGCTAAACGGTCCGGGCCAAAAAAACCTTGATTTAAACGGGTTACTAATAAAAGGACCTAACTCTGTTTTTTTCTGAGCTAAACGGGCCGACCCTGTTGAGCCAAGAACCATTTAACATCTCTAGTCAAAATGAATGACTCACCGTCAAATTTTTTTCTAGCAAATATACATACTTTTAAACCGAAAGATCATACTCTAAAAAATAACATAGATAAACATACGACATCGTAATATAAAATACATATATTTGTTAGAACGATATAACGAGTTAACTCACCTGATGTTTATGCATGTCTAGCTAGGAGTAAGTAATGACTCATCTAGCACTCGGACACATTTTGAAAAAAAATTATGTATATTCATAATTACTAG